TTGCCACAGCTGTGGTCAATCGTCGAGTCGTCGAGGAATCAGTTCCTGCTTACGGCGATGACGCCTTCTCTCCGCTTGACCAGTTGGTAAGGCAGGTAGTTGGAGAGATCCGTTAGATGGTGCCACAAGCGTGCGGTGCGGCGAAGCAGCCACACTCTTCGCTGTTTCTTTTAAATTTTTGTGATAACCTTCGTACCGTATGGTTGCATAATATTTTAAAGGTCTAAGTAATTTAGTCAATCGTGCGTAGTGAGTCCAAAAATGAAGTTTAGGTGTAAGATGAGTATTAAAAATTTTCACATACAGTAGATGATGTTTTGAAACAGTAGTGTTTAACTCAGATAGTGTGTGGTCATTTTGACAGGTATTGGAGGTCATCAGTGTTATTGTGCGATGTAGTAAATATAACTGCCATGCCTCGTTGTCACCTGGTACAAAATCCCCAATATAAAATACTAATATCTAATAAATGTATTCATTTCTGCAGCAAACATAGACAGTAGTTTAGAGGTAAAAATGTATGACTTAATTTCAGGAGGTTTACTCAATCCATAGGTGGTTTTATAAGTAAAGCATTTCATTCGATAATTTAATGTTTGTAAGGAGAAAAATTTATTCTCTTTTATTAGACTATGTAAAATCTTTCCCATTATTGCTAGACTACCTTCTTCCAAAATGTCATGGGTTATATCAACAGACATGTTTTCAATACAATGATAACTTGGGATTACGTTAAATACACACTCCTGTTCTATTCCATTATTACCCGTCAAAACATCCTGAGAGTAATTAGCAATTGTTCTTAATAAATTAGGATTCTCTAAATTCATACAACATATACAAAATGGAGTCTCCTCGTTAAAATTACTTGAAAACCTCAATACGGAATTCTGGCCTAAATTATCCCCTAAGATGCTCATTAGTACAAAGTATACCTGGACCTCTTTATCCACCAATTTTAGGCGAATTCCTTTAGTTTCTAGCTCAATGAGCTGTTTAATGACTTTCGAGAAGATTTTTTCATTGTTGCTACGACTATAATCTTTGGTACTGTATAGTTGAGCGAGGAATATATTTTGCAACTGACCAGAAAATTTGTTAGGAATTCCAAATATGGAAAAATATATTCCGCCTAATTTATGCAATCCCCTATGCGATCCTAAAGGATTGTTTATCTCGAAATCATCTGCATAAACGACTAAAGGTAGAACAATTTTTTTTTCAAATTTATGTTCAATTTTTTTCAAAATTTCTCCTTGTACTGGTGATATTAAATCGGTTGAAAGTTTACATTCTTGCACGTGTGATAAGATGGAATCAAGAACATTTGGAAGAGACAAAAATTTTTCTATAACACTACTATCATATCGATAAATTCTATTTTAATATTCTTCAAAGTGAGACTTTGCGCAAAATTTTAACGAGTTGAATCTAAGACAATTTCAATAGTGTAAGATTGAGGTGGAATAAAATGATCAGAATTTTCAAAAACTTTTATGGCTCGGTATTCAGTACGAAATTGAGAAAAACAACCCTTCAAAGTATCACAAATTGCATTGAAATTAGAAAATGAATTAGAATTTATCAAGAGAGATTAAAATTGCGACAGAATAGAAAAGGTTAAAGAGCTCGTGTTTTGGATAATTGTAATTGCTGAAGATCTGCATAAATTGCTGTCATTAAATAATTTCGCAAAGAATGTGGTAATGGAACTGAGTAGATCTTCGTGACATTTAGCAAAATCATGTAACTGATCAGGTTTTTTATCGTCAATAATACATTCAGAACTTCTAATATCTGAAAGAAGTGATTGTTGTGAGTAGAGTTTTCATTTTTTGGGGATTTCCTCACGCTGGTTCGACTGTGGAACATTAGCAGAATGCGTAGCTTGCTTTGAATGGGAGAGCTTGAGATGCTGTTATAAGCCGTACACGTCATTAAAAATTCTTGTACAGTGACAACAATTAAATCTAGAGATAAATACTTTTTTGTGCTGAGATCTTATATGGAATAAGAATTTCGTAATTGATACTTGCTCTTCACAACGCGGACATTTATGTTCCATTTTGGAGAATTACAAGACCCGAATGGTGTAAAGAATGATAATATTTTCGAAAATTCGGAGAAATTTGGAGAATTGTTTGAAAAAAACTCATAAATTTTTTTAGTGAACTTTTGCATCATTAACTTTCGAACTTGGATCACTACTGCTAACGTATTTCCATGATGACATTTTTGCTAGGACTTTGGCCATTGTGGGGACCTTAAAATCGGCGTGAGTTGTGAATTGATACAGACCTCTCTGAATGAGTAGCCAGATGTATCGACTAAGGTAGGGGTAATGAGCATCGAGGGTATAAAAGATTTTGAAGCATATATCGATTGCTTTCAAGGCACTGTCAACGGGGTAAATGAAATCGTCTAGAGTCACGAAGAATTTCGTAGGTGACGCTATATGACTTCTAACGATGATCAGATAGGGTTGAACATGCTGTCTACCAGCCTTTTCGATTTTTTGCTCTTTCGCAGCTGTGGTGTCATCTTCACGCTGTAAAATTTCTAGGATGAATATTTTGAAAATTTACCGATGATTTATTACTGAAGGAATTCTGGAGATAGTTCCCAAAACGTGTATGAGTATACTGTCCTTGGCTTCTGGGATGGATGTTCTCTTATAATTTGACGAGGTTCCAGCTCGGTCACCATTGGAGTTATTAGGATTATTAGAGGTGATGACGAGAACTCTACCTTCGGGTGCAAAAAGGTGATTCAACACCATCAGCTGACATAAGACTCGCCCGTCACTTGATGTAGACTCCAAATCGATTAACTTCAATAAGCCTGTCCAAACCTCGTTTATTTTCTTGTCCATACACGTTTCTCGAACAGCTCGAAAAAAATCATCTCAATATTGGATACGCTCCTCCTTAACAATCCACAAGGCTTCGAAATCAATATTAAATAACACTGGTGCATTCGGAGACTTCAGCACGGGCCAGTCTTCCAATACATCTGTAACAAGCGGATGACTTACGACAGCGAGCCACTTTTTGCGATAGTCAAATGTATTTTTCCAATGTCCTATCACTTCATCAGATATTTGGACTTGCGTTCTTAATGCCTTCAAGCTGTCTTGGGTTGTTGGTTCTTGATCCTCAGCACGTGGTCTCTTGACTGATTGTCCACACTGTTGCTTACTGGAACGTTTTTTGACAAGTCCAATGCAGACAGAATACTGCGTTTGTTTATTTTTGAATTTGTCATAAATTTTTCCAGTTGCTGGCTGTCCATTCAGTGGGGGTGCATAATAAGTTCCCTTCACTTCTCCCTTATACAACAAGGTTATATTCACAGCAATTCTATCGAAATGTGCATGCGTCCATCCTCTAAAAATGATTAACTTAGGCTATTTAATATTTGAGATGAAAGCATTGGAAAGAATAAATATATTAGAAATTAAAAATTCATTATTAGAAATAAATTAGAATGAAAATTCGTTTTCAAATTAGCCTTACTGATATCATTGAAAGCACCCACTGATTTTAACGTATTTCTAGTAAAAAATTCTGAGCTCTTCACCGGAATAAAAAAACCTTTGAAAAATATGTGGAACCGAGTAAAGTCAACGTTTTTTTTTGCTTCGAACGGCGATTTTTCATCGGAAAAATCAATTCAGGCTAAGTAAGCTCAAATTATTAAGGATTGTATTTTTTTTGTGCATGGCACATCAAAAAAATTGACAATTCAAAAATCTTGAGGCTAGAAATGACTGCAGGGTTTTGTAGAATATCTCAAATACCTTTGAACGTTGCGAAGTAAATGATTAACTGTGACCTCTGCAATGATACTTTGGTCATATGATCTTAATGTTCCTGTTCTATTGAACCATATGGTGGAACACCTGGAATCGAAATTGGCGTGAGATGCAATTTTGAGTTTATCCACGCTTATCAAATTGAATAACTCTCTCCTGTGATCAATTAACTTTTCACCTGAGTTACGTCCTAGAAATGGAAAGTCTTTCTATCACAAATTGCTTTAATAAATTCGTGCACGGAAAAAAACCATGTAAAAATTATATTAAAAAAAAATATATTGAAGAAAAAATTCCATTGAAAAACCACTTTGTCCTATATAAAAATTGCACCTAGCTCAACAAAAAACAAAAACCGCATTTTTGTTTTAAAGTGTCATACAAGAGCAACATTGTTTTTTTGCCTAATTTAGTCTGAAATAATCTTCCATCAATTGCTATTATTCTATCATGGGAACTAGTGTATTTAACGCAGGAATTTTCTAAATAACTTTTATCCAAATTCCATACAGTAAATTTTTTAGAGATTTGATGAATGTAAGGGAAGAAAATCAAAGACGATTATGCACAATCATACCTGTACCTAGAATGATAATTCTACTTGGACGTTAAGATAAGAACGGTGTCTAACGTTCGATTGAATCTAGTGTAGCTATATTTCTCACACTAATAATATATTTGAATATATATCACTTGAGCAAAATTAATATTTCTTTTAAATATGTATAGAATTTATATGAAGTAGATATCAATTGACATTTTTTATAATTTTTCAAGACAATTCTGGAAAATTTCATATCGAAAAATAGGCAAAACTTGTTTTCCAAATTGTTTTCCAATTTTCCAAATTGTTTTCCAAATTGTTCCAGATTGTTTTCCAATGCAATAGCAAATGGCAGGAGGTAATTTTTTTTGCACAACAGTGCAATAACCGTATGCTCAATGAATGAAAACATTTAATTCATGGTAAATAGTTTATGAGTTTTTCATGGGTATTAATCGTATACTCAATACAAAGATATCCTTTCAATCTACCATGTACTCCATCTCTCTTCAAATGTAAGGCAATCAAGCATGTGGGAATTAATTCTTTGATCGTTGATGGAGTTAATTTTGCGAGCGAAGTTTGATCAACGAAACCATTTTCTATTAAAAAAGGGCATTAAATGATAAACTTTTTCGTCTAAGCCGAAAATGAAAACTACATATTCCTATGATAAATAAACGAAGTGGAAATTCAAGCTAGTGTTCGAAGTAAAACAAATGCGCACAGTTTTTTTCCCTTTCTCATTTTCATACTCCTCAACAACGAATTCTCGGAATTGGGAGAACTCACGCTCTAGCCCCATGGTCAAGAAATATCAACTGTTTTTTCGCCGAACTGCCGAATATGTTTTTGTTTCCCTAAAAATGGATCGTATTCTCCGAACTAAACATTTATTATTTTCACAAAGTAATCATTATTCGTCACGGTTCATTTCTCGCATTGCTTTCGCATAGCCAATATGAATGAAATAAATAAAAAAAGATCCGGGCAATCTACGGGAAATAACGGAAATGTTTTAATAACTTTCTAGCCTCGAATGGCAGATGGGTAACTTAAAAATCTAAAATTGATAAATTACTTATACTTACCCTCAAATACTGTGACGTATTTTACCAAATCCCGTTGATGAAGGAGCGTTGCAATTTCAGTTTGCTCCATTCTAGATCGATTCAATAGTCAGTGTATACTGCCCAAAAACTGAGGGCACACTGTGAGATATCGGTCTGCGTTTCCCAATATACGTTTTTTTGTTATGGCCGGACCGTCTCGGCCAATTACGCCAAATGAAACGATTGTCATTCTGGTGACAGACTATAATTTGATTGAGTGAAACACGATGATTCTCGCGACAGATATACAGTGCCATGAGTCCAGGTGAACGGTTCTAATGGGTCTTCGTAGAATAATTCGTTTTATGAGAAACTATTTCATATTTCAGGTCAGAAAAAAATTCTTGCATAAAACGCTACGTCTACATGGACTGTGTTACTTCGAAAAAATCCCATCATTCATCGTGGAGCCGTCGACGAAACCACAGTCGCAGTTGTGAGAACTGAAGCTACGGAGAGTCGGGTATAAGTAGCGTACATTTTATTTTTCTTATTATTATTATTAGGGTTAGTATACGGATTTTGAAATAGGTACCGATTTTGGAACCCATCTGTATGTTTTATTGAATATTCGCATTGTTTCATATGATAGCCGTAATGAATTAAATTCACGTAGAACTATAGAATATTTATAGCTCCAAAAAATTCCCACGAAGTTCCCTCTGAGTTCCTTACAAAGAAAGCGGTCTAGTAAATTGATTTAAATCTCGAAACTTCTGAGATGTATATAAAAATGTCAACTCCACATTTTTTCACTAACTTCATTTTACCACTGTACAACTAAACATTTATTAACGAAAAAATAGCTCAGAAATGGGCACACTAAATTAAAAATTATATGTATGAAGATACGAATCTTACTATTCATTTATTTGAGCTCAAGTTTGACCGGAAAGGGGATTCTCTCAAGAGAATAAAACTGTTTCTTCTGGCAAATAAGTGTTTCTTTCCGTTAAAGAAGCGCAATCATTAACTCAAGAATACTAAGAGATTTGCGTCACGAAATAATTGGTTTCAATGTTCATCGGTTTTGGAGAGTAAGTGAAAAAAAAACTATTGATTAAACTTAGGATGCATTTATACAATCTAGAGAATCTAAACATTTTTCTGCATTTTTATTTTAACTTGTTTTTTTCCTTCAATTCTAATAAATTAAAATTTTTCAACCGACTTAAGTTTGTACTGATCCTGAGTATCGATTGCAGCGAGCGTTTTCGGAGTAATAAATGATTCTAAGATGAAGCCTAATTTGTATGGGAAATTCATAATTTTATATATAAAATTGCAATTTTCTGTTTGCAGACGAATATCTTTTCCTTGCTTACGTCAAACAAAGATGGGAAGAATTATTGGCATGGCGATATAATCATTACAAAATGTATGTTCATACCAATGATTTATGTCCATCACCATCTGAGTTTAACCGCTGCAATGCCATGGCATTCCTTCCTGCAGCGCACCAATAGGCTGAGGTACCTATCTTGATTATGCAAGGTCTTGTCAAACAGAAGAATTATCTTGAAATGCTTTTCATCGTTACAGATTAAAGATCCGGCTAGCATCCACGACAATCGTCGATTGTAACTCAGCCTCCCAGATTATGTAATGAGACTGAAAATCATTTACCAGAATTTGTGGCATGATTCATGATTAATTACAAAGACCATTAAAATAATAATACAAAATGTGAAAACTTGTTGTTCACTTTTATTGTTCTGATCTAAAGTCAATGATCATAGTATCAAATTATAAATTAGAATTCTTAGAAGTAAATAAGACTCTTCATATTCTGGTGTTCATTCCGGCAGTGATTTCGTCGCAAATCTTTAAAAAAAATGGACCCAAGCAGTCGATCACTTGAATTACCGTAACACCTGAAACGCACCTTGAGTCCCATCCGCTCCCATCCTCTCTCCTCATTTAATGTGCGATTGCTGGGAGTGAAGCGTTTTCTTTCTTTGAAGTACCGTACAGTTTGAACTAAGAAAATCCGTCCTTCCAGGAAGAATATTTTTTTTTACATGAAGAATTTCCTTTCTTCACCGATCTGATCAAGTTTACAACGAAAATGTCACTTAGAATATATATTTATCAATTTGCAAATAAGAAAAGGAGGGTTCATGCATTTTATCGATTGCTAGTCTCAAAAACGTTTTGTTTTCCCACAAGATTAGACTTCAATATCGCTTGGAATGTCCTATTATAGAAGTTTGTATGAATTCAATACTCAGTAGATTTAGGTGAAACTATAATATTCTTATGAGAAACTATTTTTTGATCAGATCCCTCTTCGGAGCAAATTTCTTCCCAAAATAGTTTTGTTTTGCCCTAACTCCAATTCAAGTTCCTCAGAAACTCAACCAGCTTTGGCAGAAATTTCAGACTCAATGAGTTGTTCCCAAACCCGATTGTCTTTCCCGTAAACTCAGAGTGTTATCCCAAAGACAGAATTTCTTCTAGCAATCAAAAACGTGATTGAGTGCATATTAATACTCCATATTCTATACACTCGATTGCTTTTAGCATGAATAAGTTTAACAGAATCCACGGATAGTTCGGTTCTAAATTAATCAATTTTGGGTCAAGAAAATTCGACGCCAAGAACGGTCCCGTTTGGGCCGAACTCGACGACGTTCCCAGGAAATCAGTTTTTCGCTCAGTGTATAAGTGGATTGACATGCTATCAGAACTCATACGTGAATACAATCATCGAAAACATCGGGCTAATAATATGAGACCGGTCGATGTGACGGTTCAAAATGCCAAGAAATTGCGCCTTCTTTACCCTGAATTTCGTGCAAAAAAGAAGGGCTCAAAATTTCAAGTTGGTGATAATTTCGAGTTTTCGAGAAAAGTTACACATCTAATTGGACTGCAGAAATATTAACCATCCGAAAAATAAATAATAGGAATTCTGTCACATACAAATTGAAAGATTATAAAGATGAATTGATTAAAGGTAGTTTTCATGAAGATGAATTATTGAAAAAAAAAAAACACTTCGATGTTTATCTAGTAGAAGAAGTACTGAAAAGAGGAGGAAACGAATTATATGTAAAGTGATTGGGCTTCGACGATACACACAATAGTTTGATAGCTGCCGAAGGATAGCCCATTTGAGGCAGAAATTTTCATTTTTTTTTTTGAGTGATGATGGTGGGGGAGGGATGATATATTAATAGGATATTTCTCCTTGAACCCTTCAGTTCAGTTGGTAAATTTATCGTAACAGCATGATCGTGACAATAGTGATGCTATAAGTCCTTGTCATATCTCTGTGCCAAGCAGCGAATTTTATCAACACGGCGATTCTGAGTCGAAGGGGGTTGCATTATGAATCTATAGGCGATATTCGCTTCAGTACAGCCGAATGGTGGTTCACTCCTTATATTGATTTGGAAAAATGCATTGATCAATGTCCCTTGATCAACAAGAATCTTTTCGTGATATCGAAGAGATCATTGAGAAATCATTGTGAAACTGGAGAAAAATACAACATCTTGTACATTTAAATATCAATGGCTGCTGGATAAAATAAGAAATTGGGGTGAAAGTTGGGAAATCGAATTGGACAATTATATTTATACAACACAAACCACCATCAATGCTGTATGTCTAGCCAAAATTGGGGTAACTCATTCAGCTTTGTTCTCACAGAATGAACTGGTAAAAGCAGTGAAACACTTAGTCGCGAAAAATCAGACGTCATCGTTGACGTTTCTAATCTCGATTGACGAGTTACAGATGACTAAATTATTGAAAATTTCGAAATTAAAAATTGTGTTTTATGGAGGAAAACTGTTAGTAATATTTAGTGTTCCACTTGTGGCCTCCCCAGTGTATCATCTGTTGAAGGTGCACCCGTATCCCACATTTCAAGTGTAAGGTCGACTACCGGTTGCGTACTAAAGATTTCTATGCCGTGACACACGCTGAGGATCTTATTAGTTGTCAAAACACAGATGGTCATCATTATATTTGTGGTGTTAATTTTTCTCTGAATAGCGCAAAAGCCCGACCTATTTGAGAAGCCACAAACATCATGACAGACAATCAACAACCATTGCATTATTGTGACATCCAACTCAACTCAACCTTCCACTCTTATTGGAGAAAGACTGGAAAAGCTTGGTTATATTCACCACCGGAGAAAGAGGAGATATATATTTGGTACGATAGCCGATGGGTAAATGTGCTGAATATATCAGGAGTTGGTGTGCTTCAAATGAGAAGTGGATGCCAAGCTGCTACCTCATATGCAACGCTGACTGGATTTCAAACGAAAAAAGTGTAACACCTGTAACCTATATTGATGCTTCGAATCTGAATGTAACCCTTAATTTACTGTACAAACAAATATTTGCCGATTTTCTAACAACGAATTACATTGAACTTGGTCAATTTTTACGTTTAGAGTATACATTGGAAACAAAACCATAAACTAGCCACTTTTTTTAAATGTGATTAAAATTCGTAGTGTGTGGATTATTGGTTCTCCTCTCATGGTTCATTCCCAGGACTGTAAAAGTAAAAATTTTCAGACATATGAATGTATGAATTTTCCCATGAAATAAATAAAGAAAATCGACTACAATAAAAAAATTTACATTTTTTATTCTTCCACCAAATATTTACAATCAGTTTTTTAAACCATACGATAAAGTATCTGTGCTATTCGCTACGAGAATACGCTTATCATCATGCCAACTTAAAGCTAATTTCGTTTGATTAATAGTAAACACATCGTGTTTAATAGATCGAATCAGATTTTGAGGACAAGAAATATTTGCATGATGTATTAAATAGGCTAAATAATCACCGAATGTAATGCGTTTTGTGACAGGAGTTATTGTTTTTCCCTTCGCGTCGCCACAATTTTCCCTGTTCTCGGGGATCACACGAGCTGCGACAAGGAAACATTTAATTTATTTGTCGGAAATTAATCCACCTATCATATTCAAATATTTTCATTTAATTCACGCTTCTAATTTGAATTGTGTCGACACTTGAGAGCATGGCCCAGTGGGATTGAGTCGTTGATATGGACTCATGCTCTAAAATATCGATTGATAGCATCTAGGAAGAAGTAATAAGTCGACAACGAGACACTCTCGCCCCGGCAACGATACTGTGTAGATCTGTTATGTATAATTTATATTTCGTATTGTCTTATATTTAATTTTGTATTGTGTGGAAAGAGTCGATTCCCGAAAATATTAATAAGGTTCCTGTCGAATAAACCAAATGTAATTGTCGACACAAAACTGTGAGTAATTATTTATTTATTAATATTCTTGCCAATATTTCTCCTTTCTCTCTCTCTACTATCTATATTGTCTTTGGGTCTTCCAACTTCCACCTCCTAAGATCAGTCGGGCAAACGTTGTTAGTGATCGACAAACTAACTGGCGCCCAATTTAATTGATTATTATTGTCTAAGTCAATTATTAACTAGCAAAAGGATTTCTCAGAGCCCTGACAGCCCTTGACCCAGGCTGCGTCAGGTGAAGGCCTTCTGTCGTTACGTTTTCTTTTCGAATCTCAATTGTTTGATTGTCGAGTTTATTTATTTAATGGAGTGTTTATCTATTGAAACTAAAAGGTCTGTCTCAGTTTCAATGTTGATTTTTTTTCACCCTTTGCGCGTGTTTTTCTCAATTTTCACCAAAAACTTTAAATGTATACATTTTTGCTCGCAATCCAACAAATTCCGTCATAATCTTACCATTATTCTCGTCTTTCATCAGACCTAATTATTTCTTATTAGCTAAGGGGACATTAATAGACATTATTTTGTGGATAATCTGAAGTGTCAAACTTAGTGATATCTCTCTTTATAAATTCACGAGACCTACTGCGCACTCCGTGCGCCGAATTCGAATTTGGACATCGGATTCGAGTTGACCAATAAGGAATCAGTCTTACGAGTTTCGACTCAGGCGAACTTCATTTACGTATCTCTGCTTTCATGATGAGGATATAATGTTCTCCAATTGAAATTGGTAAATTAAGCTATCTGTATCCGTGTACAATACTTTTGCTCTATCTTTCAAAGTATCTCTTATGTAATTATAATGGAAATCATACATGTAACCTTTCGAAATACCAAGGATACCAGTACAAATAGCCTTATTGAATCTAATCTGCGTATATGTCGTTTGAATAATTACTAAGTCTTTATCAAAAATAATACTGTTGTGGAAATTCGCGTTAGAAATCCAACTTGACGCCCTCATCAACTTCTCCACTATGTAACAGTCTTGATATCCAACTGTTTCCTAACATTCTCCACAATTTCACCAAACACTGCATTGTTGATGAATTTATAAAATTTGTTGCCGAACTCATCCATCGAGTTCTTTCAGAGGTTGGTATTTCAATCAATATACTTTTTCAACCAGCAGCCTTGAGAAAATTGTAAGATTCGATGAATTTTTGTTATTTTCATACCTAAATCACAACACTGTTTCATGTTTTTATAATGGACTAGTTGCCTTTTTGAGTTGAGCGTAATCAATAATTTATGAATTTTTGAATGTTCATTGGGTCATAAGGTATGTTCTGGATACAAACGCAAATCCTCATGTTCGGCATGTAATTCTAACGGATATTCCAGATCCAGAATATAACCCATATTTGAGTCATCTGGAACATTGACAACGTTGAACGATGTCAGTCTTGCA